CTGAATATAGGAATTCTTCTAGAAAATTTCGAAAATTATGTCGCATCTGTTTAATGCGACAAAAGTCATTAGGAGATATTTCATCTCGTTTTCCACAGTAATTTTCATTTGGTAGTAGGGGAAGTGACTCTTCTCTTTGATTTTAATGCCTTTTCATATTCTCTCTCTCTCTTTCACTTATACATATATACATATATAGTTTATCTCGTTGATAAAATTGAAATGAAAAATAAAAAAAAAAATACTTCAACTCTGTGATTTTGAAAGAACTCTCTTTTGTTAATAATCTCTTTTGTTCAATTTGGTAGAAATTTCGTAACGTGAAAAGAGGGATTTTTGATTATCTTCATTCCATTGACTAATTAATTCTCAGTGAAATGGTGTGAGATTTCATACAAATAACTCTTCTGATTTACTCTTAAACTTTTTACTGTATTTAAAAGTTTCGCAAATGTTTCACTAAAGTCCTCGTCTATTAATGGAAATTTAATTCCATTATATTATTTTCCTTCGGCAGTAATAATTAATATTAAATTCACGTTCAGTCAAAATATAAAAAAATTGAATTTCTATTTTTAATGTTCCATATGAGAGAAGAAATTTTTATTTCCTTTTATATATTTATTTCTTTTTTTTTTTTTTTTGATTGAAAGAAAATTGATGATATCTTGAAATTTTAATAACGTACGTAGAAAAAAAATTCTCCTCTGAAAAATGTATGTATGTAAATCTTAATTTTTAATGTATACGTATAAATATATCGAGAATCGATTTTAGATGAAGACGGAAATAATTTTAATGGAGAAAACGCATTTCCTGAATTTTTAAGATGGAAAATTCCCTCTGTGACTTATTTTCAAATTTAGAATGCTTGCAATAGAAGCTGTTACGCGGATAATCAGTGGATCGTAAATTGGCAATCGTTAAGCCGTCAAGCACATTCGACATTGACGAGAATACGACGGTGGGTGAGCTTTAATGGACCAAAATCTATACATATGTGGTTGCTGAGTCCACATTAAATGTTATATTCAGGTGACTGCATTACTATTAATTAATCTATTAATTATTATTATTATTATTATTATTATTATTAAAAACAATGACAATGAAAATTAAAATAATAATAATAATAATTTTTAGTCATTAAATTTAATTTTTCGACAGCCACTTTTTTTACTACTTTTTTCTCTCTTAAAGCTACTTTTTAAAAATTAATTATTGAGTGCAAAGCCTGTTATATCAATTTTTGAAAGTTGAAAATGAAAAATAAGTAAATAAAACAAAAAAAAAGGGGAAAATTAAATGAAAATTGAAAAACAAAATTTAATAGTGAATTTAAAAATATTAGCAACTTGAAGAAATTGTAAGACTTTTTTTCCACTATGGGCAGAGAGTAGAAAAGGTGTCATTGAACGACCGTAACGATTCATTAAGTTCGTATCAGGAATCAAACAGAAAAGGCAACTCGAACCAAGAAAATTTCGTTCTTAGAAGTGAAACGAGTCGTTTTAATGGTCCCCGCTTTTAACTTTCAACTCAAGTCATTAAATCGTTGGGGAATATTATCGATTCATAATATAATAATTGAAAGTTTTTACCATTATTTTTTACGGTTGTAAAAGTTACAAACAATTTTTTCTAAAAAAAAGTAATTATTCATTATGTTATTGAAATTCACTCTCAAGTTCTCCTATAGTTCTAGTTTTTTTCTTTTCTTTTTGAATCAAAAGAATATAATTTTAACGTTCTTCTATCTCTACTGCGGAATTCTCATATTAATAATATTTTAATTATACAAAATAAAAGTGTTTAAGGGATAAAATGGTGGTTTAATTTCTCCACTTGAGAACGCCAAGGTCACCACCAGGTGGCAAGGGAAATTCCAAGAAGGAACTAAAGTGCCATCTAGCGGTGATAATAAAATTTTTCAAAAAAAATTTAATTATTTACAAAAATCTTAATAAAATCCTTCAGAAGAATTCCATTATTTTTACAAGTAGTAAAATTTCTCAAAAGAATTCAATTATTTTCCTAAATAATAAATCGATTATTTGGAAATTCATTTTTAAATGAACTTTTATTAGAAAATTTCACAAAAATTCAATTATTTAAATTCAAAATAAAATATTTTATTGAATAATTGAATTTTTGTTAAAATCGAATTCTCATAAAAAATTTTATCAACAAATTTTTAAGTAATTGAATTCTTCTAACGAATTTTAATATAATTTTTAAAAATAATTACTTTTTTCAAAGAATTTGATTAAAATTGTATCAAAAATAATTAAAATCCTGCTATGAATTTTACTAATTATTAAAATAATTGAACTCCTTAAAAAAATTTATTATTTATAAAAATAATTGAATTATTGAGAAGAAATTGAAAAAAAAATTGGAAATAATTGAAATCCTGAGAAATTTTTATTATTTATGAAAATAATTGAATGTTTGCGTAGAATTTTATTAAAGTTTTTTAAAAACATTTGATTTGTTACGAAAAATTTCAATAAAATTATTAAAAATAATTAAATTCTTTCGAAGAATTTTATGGAAATTTTTTTGAAAATAATTGAATTCCTCCAAAGAATTCTTTGAAAATTTTTTAAATAATTGAATTACTTCGTAGAATTTTATTGAAATTTATGCAAATAATTAAATTCATCCAAAAATTTTGATAATATTTTTGAAAAATAATTTAAATCCTGTGAAGAATTTTGATATTTCCTACAAAATAATTGAATTCCTGAAAAGAATTTTTTTATTCATGAAAATAATTTAATTCTTATAAAGAATTTTATTACAATTTTTTAAAATAATTTAATTCCTGCCGAGAATTTGACTAAAATTTTCAAAAATATTTTAATTCTTCACAAAAATTTTATTAAAAGTTTTGAAAATAATTGAATATTTTAGAGAAAATCTATTAAAATTGTATTGAAAATAATTGAATTCTTGACAAAAATTGTATTAAAAATTTGAGGAATTTGATTAAAATTGTATTAAAAATAATTAAAATCCTTCTGTGAATTTTATTACTCATAAAAATAATTAAATTCCTGAGAACAGTTCTATTATTTATAAAAATAATTGAATTATTGCGAAGAAATTTAAAAAAAATTTGTAAATAATTAAAATCCTGAGAAATTTTTATTATTTTTGAAAATAATTGAATGTTTGCGTAGAATTTTATTAAAATTTTTTTTTAAATAATTGAATTTCAGCAAAGAATTTTGCTCTTTATAAAGATAATTAAAATCATGACGAGAATTTTTTTCAATTATTGAAAATAATTGAATTTCTGAAAAGAATTTTATTACTCTTGAAAATAATTTTATTCTCGTGATTAATATTGTCATTTATGAAAATAATTAAATTTTGCAAAGAATTTTATTAAAATTCTTGAAAACAATTGAATTTCTGGGAAGAATTTTGATATTTATCAAGATAATTGATTTCATTCGAAGAATTGCGTTAAAATTTTGGAAATTAACATTAAATACATATTAAAAATTCAACTAATTTCAACAGAATTGAAATTAAAATTGCATTAAAAATATTTGAAATTCTGCGATGAGTTTTTTTATTTATGAAAATAATTGAATCCATGAAAAAAAATTTTGTTTATGAAAATAATTTAATTATTGAGAAGAAAATAAAAAATTGTAAATGTAATTGAATTACTGTAAAATTTTTATTATTTATAAAAATTCTTAAAACTTGATGAGATATTTAAAAAAAATGTTAATCATAATTGAATTTCTGCGAAGAATTTTACTACTTTTGAAAATAATTGAATTTCTCCAATCATTTGTAATTTTTCCAAAATTCAATTCTTTTTTAGTATTTTTAATTAAAATTCTTCTATAAATCTATTAATTTTAATAATTAATTAAATATATATTAGAAAATGTAACTAATTTCAGAATTTGAATTATTAAAATTTTTGAAAAATCCAAGTTCATTATAATTTCTAATTAAATTCATTCAGAATTGAAATTTTGTAAAATTAAAAATTAAAACCTTTTGAAGTTGATTTATTTATGAAAATTGTAAACGCAATTCTTGTAAAATGCAATTAATTTAGATAAATATTAATTCAATAACTTTTAATTTTGAAAATAAATATTTATAACGATGAGAAAAATAAAAAAAAATTAAAGAAAGATTCATTACTTGAACAGTAAAATAAAGCAGAATTCTTTAAAATAATCATCAGCATTCATCAAAATAAATGGATATTCATCTCGAACTAAATGAAATGTTCACATGCATAAAATCAATAAATTTATCCGGGGGAATAATATTCTAGCTATTATAGTTTCCTATAGTACAAGGCACACGCTTTACGTTTTGCTCGTTAATCCAATTTAGTTTATGTTCTCTAAACTTTTGGGGCCTCTGTAATTTCCATTTTGATGATTATAGTGACTGGTACCAGTCGAAAGCTTATGATAATCGCCTTCCAAAGGAGCTTAAATTTCTCCACTTCTCTCTTTTGTCAATTTCCCAATCATCTTTTCTTCTTTTCCCTCCAATCTGATTGCTTATCGATATTCAATATACTTATTGAATTTCATTTTGGTGAAGAAAATATATTTTCGAAATTTTTTTTCTTTTTTCCAACTTAATAAATTTTTCCTTTAAAACAAGAACTCTTGTTCTATTTTTTTAAGTGGAAATTTTTATATTCCTTTTTTCGTGGTTTAAATATTTTTATGTAGAAATATTTTTATACTGAAATATTTTTATACAGAAATATTTTTATACAAAAATATTTTTCTATATTAATCCTTTTTTCGTGGTTTAAATATTTTTATGTAGAAATTTTTTGTATACTGAAATATTTTTCTACAGAAAAATTTTTCTACAGAAATATTTTTATACTGAAATATTCTTCTACAGAAATATTTTTATACAGAAATATTTTTATACTGAAATATTCTTCTACAGAAATATTTTTATACAGAAATATTTTAATTTTGCTTTAATTTACTTACCGTTTTGTTTGATTTCGGTGTACCAAGATCCCTCACGTTCGGGTTGAAAAAAAAAATGATAGGCCACATCTCCAGCCTCCTCGCTCCAAAATAATTTCAATGAACCTGGATTAGTTGATTTCAGATGAATAATTGGACAAGTATTACTCTCAAAAACTGCATACTGATTTTGAAGTGGACTATTTTCCTGCATATGCTCCAAAATTTCGACAACGTACCACTTGCCCATTATCTGTAAAAGAGAAAATACCAATCAGAATTAATTTATAGACGAAGAAGACCGCAAGAAACTTCGATACGCGATAAGCTTAAGATAAATTATCTCCCTTTACCAGCTGAGGTATCGCCCCCCTCACCCTTCTCTTTGCCCGCCATGAAAATCCATTTTACTTAACAATATTAATGGCACAAGCAATCAAAGTCAAAATTTATTTAATGAAAAATGTTCATTATATTAGCCAATAATGACACGATATTCATTAAATAATTTGCAATTTCCCTTTAGTGGTATTGAATCAAATTTGTTAACTTCAATTTTTTAATTTTCTTGTTAAATATTTTTAATTTTTTAATTTCAATTTTTTAATTCTTATTTATTAATTTTAATTCAATTTTAATTTTTTAATTTCAATTTTTTAATTCTTATTTATTAATTTTAATTCAATTTTAATTTTTTAATTTCAATTTTCTAACGAACTTAATTGGTTTAAGCTTAAAAAAGCAATACGCGTTTACTAACACAAGGATCGACTTTAACGAGCCAAAAAAGTCCGCTTTAGTCGATTAAAAATAGGAAAAAAAAGTCGAAACAGTCGTTTATTTAATTCATTGTTGTCACCAATTATTTTATTTTCTATTTCCCTGATTCTTCTCTGATTTTTAAATTCAATTATTCAAAACTCGAATAATTTTGCTAAACAAATATTTAAATACATCTTAATTCTTTTTTTACGCAAGAAATAAAATTTAAAAACTTCAACTTCTGAAATTTATTAATTTGTAAAAATTACAACTATAACCCTTCTAAAATTCAATTATTTTCTGGAATTTTGAACTAAACTTTATCTCTAAATCTATTATCTATATTAATTTTTAAAATAATTTTCCGAAAGTTCTTTGGGAATTCAATTATTAAAATACAAAAATTCAATTTTTTATAATAATTGAAACTGTCCATTTTTATTTTCAAATATTAGAAAAACTACAAAAATATTTTTAAAGATTTAAAATTCTCCAAAATTTTAATAAAGAAATTCTTAAAATTTTCTAAAAATATTTCTAAATAATTTTTTACAATTACAATACAATTAAGAAAGTCTAAAAAAAATTGAATTCTGGTAAATTCTTTTAAAAAATAATTGAAATTTGTTAAAATCTTTGAAAAATAATTGAAATTTTGTAAAATCTTTGAAAAATAATTGAAGTTTGATAAAATCTTTTCAAAAGAATTAAATTTAAAAATTTTTTTTAAAAAATAATCAAATTTTTCAAGAATTTTAATTTGAAAATGATTTCTTCAAAATTTTAATAAATCTAAAAAAGTAAATTTTAAAAAATTTCAATTTACTTTGTTCGAAGGTAATTAAGTCTTAAAAAATTATGATAAAACAATTTGAAGAATTACGTTTTTGTAAATATTATTATGTAATTTTTCGAAAATAATTGAATTTCTAAAAAGAATTTTTGTATGGTAATTTAAAAAAAAAGGAATTAATTTTTTGAAGTATTTTAATTAAAAATTTTGATTATGATTTTTGTCTCCAAATTGTTTAAGATAATTCTAACAGGTTATTATTTTTTTATGTATTTCAAATTTCAATTTTTGAAAATATGTAATTGAAAAGTATTGAAAATAATTGAATTTTAAAAAATTAGAATTAAAAAAATTCTGAGAATAAGTTTATTCAAAAATATTTTAATATTATATTTATAGTATAATTTTTCATTAATTTTTATTTTTATTAAATTTACACTTGAAGATTTTTCATTAAAATCTTTGAAAAATAATTGAAATTTGTTAAAATCTTTTTAAAATAATTGAATTTTTAAAGAAAATAAAAAAAATAATCAAATTTTTGAAGAATTTTAATTAATAATGATTTCTCCGAAATTTTAATAAATCTAAAAAAGTAAATTTAAAGAATATTAATTTACTTTGTTTGCAGATAATTAAATCTTAAAAAATTATTATAAAAAAATTTGAAGAATTAGTTTTTTATAAATATTGTAATGTAATTTTTCGAAAATAATTGAATTCCTAAAAAGATTTTTTGTATAATTTAAAAAAAGTACATTATTAATTTTTTGAATCGAATTTTAATTAAAAATTTTGAACACAATTTTTTTCTCCAAAATGTTAAAAACAATTCTAAAATGTTATTATTTTTTTTTATGTATTTGAATATATTCGGAAATGTGTAAATTGAAAAAATTGAAAGTAATTAAATTTTTAAAAATTAAAATGGAAAAATTCTAAGAATTAGTTTAGTTACATAATTTTTTAACTGTCTGACTAAAATAAACTATTACTACTTAAGATGTTAAGATGCAATCACAATAAATATTGTCTGACTATAATTGAGTTTTACTACTTAAATTACAATTACAGTAGTATAAATTTCTCGCTATAATTAGCTTTTACTACTTAAATTACAATTACAAAAATATGAAGTATCTGACAGTGATTGACTTTCACTACTCACATGGTAATTAAAATTAATAAAAATGCGTAAATATAATTAATTTTTACTCATTGTATCAAAATTACAAAGATTAATAACTGTCTTGTTACTCACTTGTGCTACTTATAATACTAAAAAGAATTTATTAATATTCAAAAATATTTTAATATTATTCTTATAATCTAATAATCTAATTTTCATTAATTTTCATTTTTATTAAATGTACACTTGAAGATTTTTCATTAAAATTTTTGAGAATTAAATTATTTTCAAAATTTTGCAATGAAAATTCAATAAAAGTTAATTTTCAAAAATTGTAGGTAATAGAATACTTGAAAAAAAAAATGATTTTAAAAATACGAAAAATTTAAAGAGCAAAACAAAATATGCTTTTTACGGAAAAAATTTAAAAAAAAAGGAATGTTTATTTTTTTTAACATTCCATTGAATTAGAATTCAATTAAAACATTGTTTTTGAGTAAAATTCTCTTTTTTTTATTCGCATATATATAAACGTATACAGAATAAAAATCGCTCATATTCAGCGGGATAAAAATGCAATTAACGAATCCTATTTGAAAATAATTATTTATCGATTCGCAGATGTATCCAACGGAGGTGAAATGAATTTTTCGCAATTTCGCACAACATTGAAAATTTGCCTTTAATAAATATTGGTGCGAATATGGTATATATATATGTATATATGTACACAGTTTGCTGGAAAATATATATACAATTCTAAAATTGTTATACGCTTGATATTTGGCGGACCAATTTGCCTGTTCATTACTTTAATTGGTGACCGTCACGGGCCAAAATTACGATTCTCTATACGTATATATATATATATATATGTACAATTTTGACCATGGAGCTTTGCTAGTCCCCCCCCCCTTCTTTTCCCCCCTTTTCCTCGACTATATAACTAGAGAGTTCGTTTTGAAAAGCGCGTGCCCCCACCAAAATGTACATACATATATCTTAAAATACGATTACACAAGTTGTGCTATAATATGAGAGAAGTTGGGCATGTGTGCAAATGCATGATTATTATTCCACACGAGTTACAAAATAGCCCACGTTGGTCGTTAGATTCTACACTCGCTCGTCATTAACGCTAAAATGTCCTTTTCCTCTACACGCTGCGATAAAGAGAATCTCTTTTCTCATATTATACCCGATTGAATGAGTCGAAAAATTTTCTCAATCTTCTTTTATATAGTCGCTTGAAAAATATAAAAAAGTTTTTTAGAAAATATAAAGTAAATAAAAAATAAAATTGTAAAAATTTATAAAGAAATTTGTAAAAAGAAATTTTTATCACAAAAATACAATAATAGATCGATGGGTGTTAGGACAAAAAGCACAATCGAGATTTGTGATGAAAAAACAACACCCTAAAAAAAATAACCAAAAATATAGTTTTCATTATAAGTTTTCTGTACAAATAAAAAGAGTTTTTTTTCGAATTTTTTCTTTCATGTTGTAATTAAAAATTTAATAAAAATTTTAAAAATGTAATAAATAAATCAAATTATGTTTGGAAATTAAAAGTTTATTTTTTCATTTAAAAATCGGGAGTGTTAGTTTTCTTGCAAAAAAATTTTTATTCTTCGTAACACCCATTGAGATATCGCAGTCTTAACTTTTATTCTCGAGAAAAGGTGAATTTTTTTCTTCAAAAAGAAGACAAAAAATATAGTACTAAAGAACAAATTAAAATTTGTTAAAAGTTATATTAACTTAAATTTCTTATAATTTCTTACAATTGGACAAAAATTTCTTATTAATATTCAAATTTCCTAGAGTTTTGAATTCTTTGGTGAAAAATAACTTTACAGGATTGCCACAGGTCAGGAAAATCAGGAAAATGTCAGGGATTTTTATTAAAAGGGCAAAAAAAAAATTTAATTTTTAGAATTCATAAGAAAATTCTGAATTTTGGGGTTTTTTTTTGGTTTGCCTCATAAACTATGAAATTATCACGAATTTTAATAAAAGAACCTTCAAATTTTTCTGAACCTTATCAATTTCAAATTTTTCTAAACCTTTCAATTTATTTCTGACAACAATTTCTTTTTAAATAACTTAATTCTTGAAAAACAATCATAAAATTTATACTTAAAAGTTTATTGAATTAATAATGTTACTTAAAAATTTTTAAATTAATTGAATTTTAAAAAAGTTGCGAATACAATTTTCATAAATTGATTAACTTCAAGAGGTTTCAATTTGAAATTTTAGAAAATTTCAACTTTCAATCAATTTAATTACAAATTTTAAAAAATCTTAAATTTTTGGAAAATTTTAATAATTCAAATTCTTCTGAAATTAATTAAATGGTTTAATATAATTATCCTATATTTAATTATAGTTTTGAAAAATAAAAAAAATTGAATTTTGAAGAAGTTTTAAATATTTGCAAAAATTCAATTATTTTTAAAAGTAATAAAATTCTTGTTAAACATTCAAAATTTAAATTTTTGTCAAAATTTTAATGATTTTAATAAAGTTTTCTGTAAGAATTCAATTATTTACAAATTTTTTA